GTACAAATGTTCAAATGTGCCTTTTCCAAATATTCATGAACTGAAGTAGTCATTGTATTGAGCTCACATGCTAACATGATACTTTTCTTTTCCTTTTATTTTAAAGCTTTTCCTGAAACACTCTTTGGAATTATAAAAAATATCTGCTGATTGTCAATGACTTCTTCAGTTTAGAAGTTGTATCATATTGTACATTATATTTTTTTGGATAGAGAGATTCAAGTAAATTTTGTGTCCCAGTTTTTTCCTGTTTCTGTTATATCGTTTTAACTCTTTTTTTTAAAGTTTTTGCAGCATTTTCTATTTAATCAGAATCAGAATACTTTTTGGTTACAGTTGCTGCAAAACAATGAGAACACTAACAGACCGAACTAAATTAAATAATACAGTGTATTACAGAGTTAAAAAATATAAGAAATAGCTCTAATATATACAAATAGCTCATTTATAAATATCCAGAATATTGCAGAGCTTAAATATATATGACTAACATTTTACTCTAAACTGTAAAACTTGTTTTTTTGTGCTATGTGCCAATGGGTATAACTATTGCACTGTGACTGTTATTAGATGGAGGAGATGTACAGGGCGATATCCACAGGCAGGAGTGATTTCCTGAGTTGTGAAGTGGTGCATTTGGGTAATCTCAGTCTGTTTTTGAACGTGCTCCTGTGACTGGCCAGTAAGTCAAGGAGTGCATCCAGCATTGTCCTTATCTTGCCGACACCACCTTAAGGGAGTCCAGCTCGATACCCACAGCATTACTGAGCTTATGGATCAGATCAGTTTTTTTTAACATGGTTTTAACACAATCACCAAAAACAAAACAAAAACCCCACAAAGATTTTGTCTTATCAAAAGCAAAACTTTGAGAAATTGTTTGTATTGTACATATATTATTTTTGCACTTATATTCAAATGTTTAATTTCATTTCATTTCATTATAATAATTTATTAATAATTTATTAATTATTATTCTGTCAACTATAATTTATTCTAAAGAAAGACAAACAACATAAATTGCTTAACAAAGATGAAGAGTTGAAAGAAAATCTGAAGGACAAGCTAACAAAAAGCTGAAGTTGTGGTAAACACGCCCATTGCTTGCAGTGTTTCAGGAATCAGCCAGTTTATCACAAATGCTTAAAGCCTTGTGAATATTATGTGGTGTCAACTGTCTGTTGATGGCTAAAATGGCCATTTTATTATACATATCTAATAAATACATTTTTCTACTTGTATTGTTTTGAAGCTTTCCCTGAGGTATGTGACATTTATGTCTGTATTCCAGTGCGCGCTGGAGCAGGTATGTTATGTTACAGTCTTGTTGAACTAAAACACATTTACTATTTTTCACATGCGTACAATTACAAATAAAGTACAATTTTATTCCTCTCTTTCACTGTCAGGTATTCTTCTGTTGGTGATCTTCATTCTCATTGTTTGCTGTATCCAGAAAAAAGCAAACATAATAAAGGGTAAGATTATTATTACTATCATGCTTAATTTTAGTATTATTATTATTACGAGCAAACTCCGGCCTGTGGCACTTTGCATGAAAACACAGACATGTGAAAATATTGTGTTATTGTAATCTCCATTATTACACTGCACATAGTGAGATGTTAAAAAAAGGCTGTTTATAAAAAACAAACAAATCACTAATAAAAACAGATGTATTGTTCATGCCACTGCACTACAAATTGTTTGTTAAAATTTATTTACAAACACAACACAATGCAGACTAAGATCAAACTCATAATCACAAAGCAGGTTGAACATGTGGTGTTAGATTTTACTAGACAAATTACTGTGTCAAAGAAAAGAAATAGTTTGGCCTTTGCAATATTTTATGCTGGTTGTTTACACTATCCCCCTGCTGAATCACTACATTATCTCAGTGGAGGGGTTTGGGTTTCTCAGGGATCCCAGGGGCTACGTTGTCTTTTGCTTTTACCCCCATGGTAAAGTGGTCCTGGGTGAGGGACAGACAAAGAGTGGTTCAAAAGCCCCTATCAGTAGAAGATCCAGTTCACCTTGGCTGGGATAGGGTTACTGTGATGGCCAAACCCATGGCCACACTCTAAAGTCAGTAACTCTTGTGCATTTTCATTTCTTCATTTGAACACAGTAACACACGTTTGTGTTGATTGGTTTCGATACATTTGTTCTGTTTGTAAGCGTGCACATTTAGTTTACTTATGTATTCATACCAGTTCATTACTTAGTTTTATTTTTGACAAACCTTTGTTTCTTCTTACCTGCCATGATCCCGGGGAGTTGCCAGACAAAAAGTGGTGGGCAGGGTTTGAAACCATTAAATGCAAAGAGGGATAATTGGACCGCACCACCACTTCCTGCTGAAGGGGAGAATCTGTGTTTTCTTTCATTAAAAACAAAGTAGTTGTACTTAATTAAATATTTGAGTTTAGGGTTCAGTAGTTTTGATTTTCTTCTTTGGTGTGTAGTTTATTAACAAACTAGACTGTACTGCATTGTTTGTTGTTTATGATTGTGTTTTGTTTAGTTACCTCTCATGTCTCATAGTGGTCTGATCAGCCATTATATATAACCTTGTGTGACATTTCATGTTTAGGTCAGTTATATTTGTTTGGGCAGTCAGTTGGTTTGTTAAGTTTGCAGGTCTTTGCCTGAGTTCAGTTTTGTTTCTTTGACCTTTTTCTATGAGATCAACATTTATGACTTTTGTAAATATAATTTTGGGAGGTTAAATAAATGAAAACCCTATTTTTCTAATAATTCCTGTCACTCCTGCTTTCTTCAACTCGGTACATGTGGACCCTCCTGTAGGCCCACCACCTGCAGGAGGTGTCATAGGGGAGTGTGTGCTGGGTGGCGGTGTGTGCAAACCACAGTTTGTCCATAAGGGTGTCCATACGTGCACGTGGCACCAGGACACCTAGGCCCCAGGTCGGTGATCTATAAATCCATGAGTTATTTTATAATTGCATCATCAGCTCTGCTGCCGCATGTTCTGGACACTCAGGTGAAGAGAGGTGCTGAGCTTTCAACTGATCACCACCTGGTGATGAGTTGGATCAGGTGGTGGGGGAGGTTGCTGGACAGACCTGGGATGCCAAAACACATAGTGAGGGTGCACTGGGTGATGGCCTCTAGCTTGGGGCAGTTTGCAGTTCAGTGTGAAGCGACAGGAATAAGAATCAGCACCTCCAAATCTGAGGCCATGGTCCTCAGCCGGAAAAGGGTGGAGTGCCAACTCCGGGACAGGGACGACTTACTGCCCCAACTGGAGGACTTTAAGTATCTCAGGGTCTTGTTCACAAATGAGGAGAGAAGGGAGCAGAAGAGCAACAGATGGATTGGTGCTGCAGTGATGCAGACGCTGTACCGATCCATCATGGTGAAGAGAGAACTGAGCTCTCGACTTACCGGTTGATGTCCCTTTGTCCCTACTCTCACCTATGGTCACAAGCTTTGGTGAGGAGTTTAGCCATCCAGGAGGGGCTCACAGTAGAGTTGCTTCTTCTCCACATCAAAAGGAGCCAACAGAGTTGGTTTGGGAATCTGTCCCAATATGTCCCAATACTATCAAACTGGGAGGAGGCCTTGGGGTAGACCCAGAACACGCTGGAGAGATCATATCTTTCCCCTGACCTGGGAATGCCTTGTTATTCCCTCGGATAAGCAGGAGGAGGTGGCCGTGGAGAGGGAGGTCTGGGCTGCTTTGCTTAGGCTGCTGCCCCCACGACCCGGCCCTGGATAAGCTGAAGAAGACAGATGAATGAATGGATAGTTTACACTATATTTTTTACTATGTAGAAATATATAAACACAACGACGGGAAAAAAAACCTATCAATGACCATTTAATTTAACATCTATTAAACAAACGTTTAGTGTAAATCCTCAGTTCTCTCTATCTTTGTTCTTGGGGGGTTAAACAGTGACACTTATGTGAACTATTGAATGAATAAGTGTCTTTCTGGAGAGTTTTCATTGCTCCATTTAAACGGCACCCCCTCGCCCCAACCTTCAGAGGCTATAACCAGCTCTTCGCAGTTGATGAGCCTTTTGTGGCTCGTATTTAGCATTAGTTAAAGTAGTGACACAAAGCAATCCAAACTCACAAACCCTGCAAACACCACCACAGTGTCCATTCTCTGCACTATGTTTCTCTAATTCAGATTCCATGTTAGCTGACCCAATACTATCAAATTTATGATGCTATTCATAGCAGGCTTTGCTTTTTACCTAAAGTAGTGAGAGATGGTTGTAATTCTGCAAGTCGGACATGTAATCTTGTGTTAACAGACAAAGTTGAGCTTCCATTGAAGAAGCATCATCATCATAAGCAGCTGGTTGGTAGCGTCCCGGAGCCTGACTTCTGTGCAGACTGTGGTCTGGAGGTAGACAACAGGATATAATGTAATCATTATTCAACATTCAGACTGTTTTGTTTTTCTGTCTTTCATTTTTTTTTCTTCCAGCCAAGTTCATCTTGGCTGTTAGAGCAACCGTTCAAGACTCATGCAGCATGGCTGATGTAATCTTTTTATGATTTTTTTCTTTCTGTCTGATTCAAAGATTCCCAGGATGTTTTTGACCTGTATGGTGCAACAGGCAGTATCTTTATTGTTTCTCTGAAACCAAGCTGGGCAAAAAACTTGACCTTAAAATGGAAACACAATGATGAGAAAGTCTTTTCACACAGAAAAGTGAATGACATGGCATATCCAAACCAACAAGCCTGAAGACAAACAACTTGGGAAACTTTGTTTCAATGAATATGGAAAATTAGAAAAAGAAAATATGACCATATGTTTATTTGTTGTGGGTAGCTAACAACAGAGTAGATTTATTGTGGTTATACAATAAACATCACATTTCTCTTTGAATTTCTCTTTATGTCAGTCTCAACCATAGATTACAGTGTGCAGTCAGCGAAGCACTTTTCAGCCTTATCACATTAGTGTTTTCACATATATGGCATCAATGTGAACATGAATGTATTTTATGTTTTTATGTTTTTGATTTTTAATCTACTCATTAAAAAAAGTGTTACACCTTTGTCATCAGTCTTTATTTAATGCATCATCAGCATTTCTTCATATAATATAATATTAATGTATAAACATTATATAGAGATAATACGATCTCAGATTATGTGCAGAACTCTGTAGTGATGAAGAATTGCACAATAAACGTGATGTGTCTATACCCTGCCACCCACTGGTCGTTTAATGTTACTGTAGATGTATGACGTGTGTCATTGTAATTATTGTTATTTAACCCTGTCATGCATGAATTATAACCTCAATTAGGATATTTTTTCTTAAATCCCTGTAGAACTGCAATCACATAAGTTAGAGCAATAATTTTTTTTGCATATCAAACCGGAGGACTTGTACTTACATCTTATGCCATCAGTTTGTCCTAGGTCACGGTTTCCTTCCACACATATCTTTGAAAAAAATTGCATAAAAAGCACTTACATCTTTTTATAGTTGCAGTTCAAGCAATATTTATAAAAGACCTGTCAGCAGATTTGGGCTGTAATTAAAAAACAACAACAGAGAACATTTTCTGCATAGACGTCCAAACAGGAGTACTTACACATTTCAGTGGCAACATGATGCAGAGTTTGAGCTCTGACTCAGGTTCAGCTTATCTCAATAACCCATTAATCTTGCTTCATGGGACACCCCGAATCTCCGGATATTAACAATGCATACCTTATTTGCCACACGACACTCACAGAAGTGTTTCTCACTTATTTGAAATAAAATACACATTTAATTTTACAAAATAATGACGGGATATTAATTTTCTTATGCAATTTAATTTAATGTACTTTCCTCTGACAGTGAAAAAGAAAAAGAAAAAACGAAAAGGACCCTGTAGCGGCAACAACAAAAATCAGTTTGTATTATCAGATTTTAAGAAGAAGTCATTTTGGAAAAACATACATTTATATTTTATGTCTAAATTATTAATAATCACCCAAATTAGGACAGTTCTTGCTTACCTCTTCAACATCTCTGACTATATAATCACAGATTATATTTAAATATATTATTTGCTGAAGCAAGTCTTTGTTCTAAGTGTCACATTTGCTTTGTTCTTTATCTATGAGAGCAGACGAGGCCTCTCCTCTTCAAAACCATACCTGCACACTCACAGTATATTTGTTTTCTTAGCAATGTCATGATGATTGTCGTGATCTCAAAAAGTTCCAGTCAATCTAAAAGTAGTCAGCTTCTAAAGTAGTCGACATTATTGAGAAGATTGTGAAATATCAGCTGATTGTCAATGATTTATCAAATTAAAACACGATATAACATCTCTATGGAGATTTTGAAAATTCTCACAAAGATATTTGTACATGCAGAAAATGTGTTTACATGCTGTGTACTAACTCAAGCTATGCAATGTGGACACCTTTGCAAAGCAGCGTTGCTCATGAACACAGAAATTAAATGTTAGTGTCTGACACTTTTTATCTGCATCGTGATTTCTTGGCAGCTACTTTGGAAATTTGTAAGAAGTCTGTAGATGGAACAAAGTTTAGGTACAGCCCTGAATTTAGTATGAATAACACAATGTCCTTCAAATGTTATAAATTGACATACAATCGTTCAGAGCCTTTCTAACATGGCTAATCTCATCTTTCTGTTTCAAAGGCTCTCAGGATGATTGTGTGTACGCTGCAACAGCCTCAAACTTCACTGTGTCACTTAAATATAAGTTAAAGTAATCAGAGAGCCTGAGATGGTTCAAGGACGCAAGGATAATCTTTCATCACAGACAGAGAAAGGTGATCTTAGGGAAAAATGATGATGCTGATTCAACTGAGCAAAGACGAGTCAGGACGATACAGACCAGAGATTCACAGCACAGAGGGAATAAATGTGGGGGGAAATTTACCGAGTGTGCATTTGTGTGTATTGGGTAAGTAACAACACATTATACATACATTCATTCTGGTAATACAAATGTACTTTATAGCAAATGTTCTGTCTGTTTCTATGTTAGTCACACATTTAACCCACAGAAAACTGCTGG